GACACCAACAAAGAGGCGCTGTTCATCCCGCTGACACCAATGATGGGGCACTATTCATTCCACTGACACCAATGATGGGGCACTATTCATCCCACTGATATCAATGATGGGGCGCTATTCATCCCACTGACACCAATGATGGGGTACTATTCATCTCACTGACACCAATGATGGGGCACTATTCATCCCACTGACACCACTGATAAGGCACTATTCCTCCCATTGACACCAATGATGGGGTACTATTCCTCCCACTGACACCAATGATGGGGCACTATTCCTCCCACTGATACCAATGATGGGGCACTATTCCTCCCACTGACACTAATGATGAGGAAATATTCCTCCCACTGATACCAACGATGAGGCACTATTTCTCCCACTGACACCAATGTTGGGGAACTATTCCTCCCACTGATACCAACAATGTAATATTCCTTCCCCTGAAACCACCGATATGGCAGTAATTCTGCTACTGACAAAAAATATGAGGCACTATGCATCCCCTGACACCAATGATGGGGCACTATTGTTCCCACTGACAACAATGATGGGGCACTATTCCTCCCACTGACACCAATGATGAGGCACTATCCTTCCCACTGACACCAATGATGGGGCACTATTGTTCCCACTGACAACAATGATGGGATACTTTTCCTTCCACTGACAACGAACGATGAGGCACTATTCCTCCCACTGACACCAATGATGAGGCACTATCCTTCCCACTGACAACGAACGATGAGGCACTATTCCTCCCACTGATACCAATGATGGGGCACTATTCCTCCCACTGATACCAATGATGGGGCACTATTCCTCCCACTGATACCAATGATGGGGCACTATTCCTCCCACTGATACCAATGATGGGGCACTATTCCTCCCACTGACACCAATGATGGGGCACTATTCCTTCCCAGTGACACCAATGATGAGGCACTATCCTTCCCACTGACAACGAACGATGAGGCACTATTCCTCCCACTGACACCAATGATGAGGCACTATCCTTCCCACTGACACCAATGATGGGGAACTTTTTCTACCACTGACACCAACAATGCGGTAATATTCCTTCCACTGAAACCACCGATATGGCACTAATTCTTCTACTGACAAAAAGTATGTGGCACTATGCCTCCCCCGACACCGATGATGGGATACTATTCCTCCCACTGACACCAACAACAGAGCACTATTCCTTCCACTAACACAAACAGTGTTACTATGATCGGACACTACTCCTTCCACTGACACCAACAATGAAGTACTATTCCTTCCACTGACAACAACGGTGGGGCACTATTGCTCCTACTGACTCCAGTGATGGAGAACTAGTCCTCCCACTGGCATGATGATGCCAAACTCTGATTCCCACTGACACCAGCAATGCGGCAATATTCCTTCCACTGACACCAATGATATGCCATTATTCCTCCCACTAACACCTATGATGGGACACTATTTCTTCCACTGACACAAATGATGGGGCGCTATTCCTTCCATTGACACCAGCAATGAGGCAATATTTCTTGCACTGACACCAAAGATAGGGCATTATTCCTCCCACTGAAAAGTCAGTGTTTCAAAAGACATCATCTTTGTTCTAACTTGGTGTCCATGATGAAATAGCAGACGTGGTAATGCACATGGTCAGAATAGCACCAGTTGCACAGCTCCCGATGTACACAGTACACCCACTCCTCCAGACTGACATCCATCCATCAAGGCGTTTTGATACTTGCATAACTCCTCCTAAGAGCCAGCCTATAGCTGAGGGCTCTTAGAGGAGTACTGACTGAGGCAGGGTGGTGTCATGGGCAGCACAGTGGCTAAATGGTTAGCACTTCTGCCTGGCAGTACTAGGATTGTTGGTTCAAATCCCAACCATGGCACCACCTGCCTGGAGTTTGCATGTTCTGCCTGTGTGGGTTTCCTCCGGGTACTCCAGTTTCCTCTCACATTTCCAAAGACATGCTGGTAGGTAAATTGAATCCTGTCTAAATTGGCCCTAGTATGTGTATGTATGATGGGAGTTAGGGACCTTAGATTGTACACACCTTGAGGGTTAGGGACTGATGTGAATGTACAATATATATATAAAGCACTGCATAAATTGATGGCGCTATATACAGTTGCAAGAAAAAGTATGTGAACCCCTTGGGATTACGTGGAGTTTTGCATGAATTGGGCATAAAATGTGCTCTGAATGTCATCTAAGTTACAACAATAGAAGAACACAGTCTGCTGAACATAATACTACACAAACATTAGATGTTGCCATGGTTTAATTGCACATAACATGTAAACATTCACAGTGCAGGGAGGAAAAAAGTATGTGAACCTTTGGACTTAATAACTGGTTGACCCTCCTTTGGCAGCAATAACCTCAACCAAACGTTTCCTGTAGTTGCAGATCAGACCTGCACAACGATCTGGAGTCATTTTGGACCACTCCTCTTCACAAAACTGTTTCAGTGTAGCAATATTCTTGGAATGTCCGGTGTGAATCGCTCTCTTAAGGTCATGCTACAGCATTTCAATCGGGTTGAGGTCAGGACTCTGACTGGGCCACTCCAGAAGGCGTATTCTGTGCTGTTGCAGCCATTGTTTTGTTGAATGACTTGTATGCTTTGGGTCATTGTCCTGTTGCATCACCCATCCTCTGCGGAGCTTCAGTTGGCGGACAGATGGTCGTACGTTTTCCTGCAAAATGTCTTGATAAACTCTGGAATTCATTTTCCCATCAATGACAACAATCTGTCCAGGCCCTGAGGCAGCAAAGCAGCCCCAAACCATGATGCTCCCTCCGCCATGTTTCACAGTGGGGATGAGGTGTTGATGTTGGTGTGCTGTGCCTTTTTTTCTCCACACATAGTGTTGTGTGTTCTTCCCAAACAACTCAATCTTGGTTTCATCTGTCCACAGTATATTTTGCCAGTAGTGCTGTGGAACATCCAGGTGCTCTTTTGCAAACTTCAAACGTGCTGCAATATTCTTTTTGGACAGCAATGGCTTCCTCCGTGGTGTCCTCCCATGTACTCCATTCTTGTTTAATGTTTTCCTTATTGTAGATGTGTCAACAAAAATGTTAGCATGTGCCAGAGATTTCTGTAGGCCTTTAGCTGACACTCTGGGATTCTTCTTTACCTCATGCAGCATTCTGCGCTGTGCTCTTGCAGTCATTTTTACAGGACGACCATGCCTAGGGAGAGTAGCAACAGTGCTAAACTTTCTCCATTTGTAGACAGTCTGTCTTACCGTGGACACATGAACATCAAGGCTTTTGGAGATACTTTTGTAACCCTTTCCAGCTTCATGCAAGTCAACAATTCTTGATCGTAGGTCTTCTGAGAGCTCTTTTCTGCGAGGCATGGTTCACATCAGACAGTGCTTCTTGAAACCAGTAAATCCAAAACAGGTGTGTGTTTTTTTAAGGGCAGGACAGCTGTCAGCAACACATCCAATATCATCACACTGATTGGAGTCAAGGTTGGCTCACTCCTGGCTCCAATTAGCTCTGGGAGAAGTTATTAAGCTAGGGCCTCACATACTTTTTCCTCCCTGCACTGTGAATGTTTACATGTTATGTGCAATTAAACCATGGCAACATCTAATGTTTGTGTAGTATTATGTTCAGCAGACTGTGTTCTTCTATTGTTGTGACTTAGATGACGTTCAGAGCACATTTTATGCCCAATTCATGCAAAACTCCACGTAATCCCAAGGGGTTCGCATACTTTTTCTTGCAACTGTAAGTACCTGTAATAATAATGTGTTCAGGAAGCTATGTACAACACTTTGCAGGTCCCTCCTACCAGCCATGATCTGCCTGCATTGCCTAGAGAAGCACAGAAACCTGGCAATGATGTTAAACATATGGAAATGTTTTATTTAAAAATTTCATTAGCATGTTGATGAGGAACCAGGAAGGCCAAATATAAGCGGATTAGACTTGTAACCAATATGATACGCTTTATATTTTAATCCTTCTCAGCTACCTGAACCACCTGATTATTATTTCATATTTCCAGCACTCACTACTGCACTACATTCAGTATAATGCAAATGTTACCTGTACACCATGCATGTGGATTTTCACATTATCTTCTATTGATTACCATTCGCTCAGGCTCTGAAGGTTCCAATAAATCAATCACTTCTGCTTGGATGGTGTTTATGGTGATCGCAGTGCCGACTTAGAATCTGAAGGGCTAATGATGTCCTGTGTGGCTATGTTTGCACTCCGCGGACAGATGTGTGTCATCATCCCGGGCGTCGGAGAATTGTTCCTCCAGGGAATTGGGACATCTATTTGACAGCTAGCTGAAGGCTCAGATCTGGTTTTCCTAGAACAAATTCTTTAAAGAGCTCATGAAATATTATGCAAGAATGAGTATGCTTAGGGGTCTATGTATAAAAGCTTCGATGTGACGAGTATCCGCACAATCAGGACGAAAATTGCCGTACTTTCTCTGTTATGTGTGGTTCCTATATTGACAGTGTCATCTGCTGGCTGCAACAGGGGCGGACTGACAACTCATGGGGCCCCCGGGCAATAGGGGATCATGGGGCCCCTGTATCCTCACCCACACTCAAACCACACCGAAAAAAGCCTATGAAAGGTACCAGTTGCATCTCATGGTGCCCCCTACTGATCCCGAGCCCTCAGGCAATGCCCGAGTGCCTAAATGGTCAGTCCGCCCCTGGGCTGCAATATGTTTTTTGTTTCCTGTTTGAGGTATTTGTAGAAAAAAAATGCATTATGGCTACTAGGGACTACACATATAGTATTGGAGAAAATACTGCAATTTTTGTCCTGTTTGTGCTGGTGTTTTTCATATCTGCACACTGAACATATTATATGTAGACCCCTAAGTGTTAGGCTGCCTTCACATCTATGCATTGTGACAAAATACACATTGTACTGCACATTGCTGCAACTCACAGTAACACATAGTCCTACATGTGTTGAATTGTGGTGCAAATGCACCTGTAAAGAATGTCCCTTACATTGGTGATCAGTGGGAAGAATGCCCCTTACATTGGTGATCAGTGTGAAGAATGCCCCTTACATTGGTGATCAGTGGGAAGAAAGCTCCTTACATTGGTGATCAGTGGGAAGAAGCTCCTTACATTGGTGGCCAGTGGGAAAAATGCTCTTTACATTGGTGGCCAGTGGGAAGAAGCTCCTTACATTGGTGGCCAGTGGGAAGAAGCTCCTTACATTGGTGGCCAGTGGAAAGAATGCTCTTTACATTGAAGGTCAGTGGGAAGAAGGTCCTTACATTGGTGGCCAGTGGGAAGAATGCTCCTTACATTGAAGGTCAGTGTGAAGAAGCTCCTTACATTGGTGGCCAGCGGGAAGAAGCTCCTTAAATTGGTGGCCAGTGGGAAAAATGCTCCATACATTGATGGTTAGTGGGAAGAAGGTCCTTACATTGGTGGCCAGTGGGAAGAATGCTCCTTACATTGAAGGTCAGTGGAGTGGGAAGAAGCTCCTTACATTGGTGGCCAGTGGGAAGAACGCTCCTTACATTGGTGATCAGTGGGAAGAATGCTCCTTACATTGGTGGCCAGTGGGGAGAATGTTCCTTACATTGGTGGTCAGTGGGAAGAATGCTCCTTACAATAGTGGTCAGTGGGAAGAATGCTCCTTACATTGGTGATCAGTGAGAAGAATGCCCCTTACATTAGTGGTAAGTGGGAAGAATGCTCCTTACATTGGTCGTCAATGAGAAGAGTACTTCTTACATTGGGGGTCAGTGGGGAGAGTGCCTCTTATATTGGGGGTCAATGGGAAGAATGTCCCTTACATTGGTGATCAGTGGGAAGAATTCTCCTTACATTGGTGGTCAGTAGGAAGAAGCTCCTTACATTGGGGGTCAGTGGGGAGAGTGTCTGTTACATTGGGGGTCAATGGGAAGAATGTCCCTTACATTATTGGTCAGTGGGAAGAATGCTCCTTTCATTGGTCGTCAATGGGAAGAGTACTTCTTACATTGGTGGTCAGTAGGAAGAAGCTCCTTACGTTGGGGGTCAGTGGGGAGAGCATCTGTTACATTGGGGGTCAATGGGAAGAATGTTCCTTACAGGCTAACCTTCCTAGTGATGTCGCTGTGCTGCACATGACATCCAATGCGTTCATGAGTCCTGGTTGTAAAGAGAATATATTTAGCTGCTACAAATCAGTCACCCCTTCTGATCTGTTGATGAATATACGTGTTTTGTTATGAGTTGGTGAGGAACAAGCCACAATGGCGGGTGATCTGGGAAAGCTCTCTACCCCCACCATGCCGTGTGTAATGCAGCACGAATAAACATAATCTACAGGTGTCACAATTAGCATTTCTGCAATTCAGTGCAATTATCCTCTTATATACAAGCGTTTTGCATAAGCAGCAGCAATTTGCGCCAAAAATAAGTAGCATGCGCACTTCAGCCATATTGATGAGATAAATGGCGTGAAGTGTATGTACATATGGTGTTTAGCATGCTAATGTAGAACGTTTCAACACGAAACAAACCCCAGCAGAGGACGCATTCAGCCGGAAACAATAATGTAATCCAGGAGAGACTGATACCAGGAAATTGCTTGATCTATATATTTATCTCTTGAATTCCTCCGTGATCATGTATCCAGTATATTGAACATGGTTTGATTTCCTTTCATTAACAAACAAGAATGCAGAGATTACTTCCTATAGCTTACAGGGCAGGAGTCATGTATTGGATCTCTAGAGGTTTAAATCCATTTCTATATACACTCGCACTTTAATGTATATTTACAGCCAAGCTGACACATTTTTGTTGTTTTGGATGAATGGTAGGAGGGTTGGAACCTGTGTCAGGCTTTTATTGTATTGCGTGGAAAAAGGAAAACCATATGTAAAGTCCAAAGTTTTTTTTATTAAAAGTCAAATTCAGCTAAAGCTGACGCATTTTGGGGTTTGTCAGGTCTCCCTTCATCAGGGTATTGGCCCTTTTTACCTCCCAGGCATTGAACTCATGAGACCCTGTGTGGTGGTGGACATATTGGATGGTGAAGGAATATAGGTCATCTTCAAATACACTGCTCCAAAAAATTAAAAGAACACTTTGAAAACACATCAGATCTCAGAGGGGAAAAATCTTATGCTGGATATCTATACTGGTATGAACTGGGTAATGTGTTAGGAACGTAAGGACGCCCCATCGTTTGATGGAAATGAAAATGATCGACCTACAGAGGACTGAATTCAAGATACCCCGAAAATCAAAGTGAAAAAATGATGCAGCAGGCGAGTCCATTTTGTTGAAATTTCATTGCAGCAACTCAGAATGGTCCTCAGTAGTGTGCATGGCCCCCCACGTGCTTGTATGCATGCCTGACAACATCGGGGGATGTTCCTAATGAGATGACGGATGGTGTCCTGGGGTATTTCCTCCCAGATCTGGACCAGGGCATCACTGAGCTCCTGGACTGTCTGAGATGCAACCTGTTGGCGTCGGATGGACCAAAACATGATATCCCAGAGGTGTTCTATTGGATTTAGGTCAGGTGAGCGTGCGGTCCATTCAATGGTATCAATTCATTCATCCTCCAGGAACTTGCTGCATACTCTTGCCACATGAGGCCGGGCATTGTCGTTCACCGGGAGGAACCCAGGACCCACTGCACCAGCGTAGGGTCTGACAATGGGTCCAAGGATTTCATCCCGATACCTAATGGCAGTAAGGGTGCCATTGTCTAGCCTGTAGAGGTCTGTGCATCCCTCCATGGATATTCTTCCTCTGACTATATAAGAACCACCAAAATGGTCATACTGAACGATGTTACAGGCAGCAGAACGTTCTCCATGGCTTCTCCAGACCCTTTCACGTCTGTCACATGTACTCAGGGTGAAAGCATAGGGAGCCAGTGGTGGACCTGACAATTCTGGTGTTCAATGGCAAGTGCCAATTGTCGGTCAAAACCAGGAGGAACCCAGGACCTATTGCACCAGTGTAGGGTCTGACAATGGGTCCAAGGATTTCATCACGATACCTAATGGCAGTCAGGGTGCCATTGTCTTGCTAGCCTGTGTAGAGCATGCAAAGAAACAAACAGAGCACAGGCCTAGTGCATTGCCTTTTTAAAAGATCATTTCTTGTGTAAAAAAGTGGTAATATACTCACAAACAAAAATTTCAAAAAGACAAATTATTCTGTAACGCGACACTTCCAGAAAAAGCACAACAACCCGTCAGGCCTAAGATTGTTTGGTATCGAATCAGTGAGAGGAGATTCAGATAACGGTAGGAGATTCCAAAGACTATGCATGAGAGAGACATATTGGATCTTTACCTTAGGTTCCCTTGCTCCAGGTGGACTCAGTGAGGATTTAGAAGTACATGGGTTGGTCCACTAATTTCATGTCGATTCAGTCCCATCATACGCAATTTCACTTTCCCGCTTTGGGTTTCTGCATAATTTATTTCCCCCCACCCCCTTTCCTTTTTTTTTTTTCTTTTTTCTATCGGTACTCCTATTTCATCCCTCTACATCAGCCCTGCATTTTTAACATTTTTTGTCAGTTTTCTTTTCATCTCTTTTCTTTTTAAGTTCCACTACTTGAGTCTGTATAAAATATATTAGTTGAAGCTCATCTGCTACTATCTAGCACTATACGAGATCCTTCTTTGATATAGAGATATGTATATGTAACACTTTTTTATATTCATGTATACACATATACTGTATATACATATATGGATCTTTTCCATTAATTTGATCCCAATCAGAGTTTTATTCACACTTGTATACATTTTATTAAATCATTTTACTAAAGCCTTTATCCATCCATTTTTTTATATATTTTATTGGTTTGAATTTACATTATTATGTATTGTATGGTTACGTTTGCCCTTGTTTTCATTCACATCATAGTGTACACATCCTTGCAGGACTTATGCCATACCTCATCATTTATTTATTTAGTGCCAGTCTTTCATCTATTTATTCTCCATTACTACCACTAATACCATTCCAATTATCATTATTCACTTTTACAGTATTTATTAATGTATTATTTATCATCCATTATTTATTCCTGTTTCATAGGAGGTTTCCCCACCCATAAATATTACATATCCTTGATATAGTTTTATATTCTGTTTTCCCTTGCATTATCATACATAGACAATGGTGTAACCATAGCCAGGGACACACCATCTTTTTCCTGGTCCCGCTGGAGCGCATGGTGGGCCGGTACTTCCGGTGGTGGCGGTCAGCTGACTCCTGACAGCTGACAGCCGGCGGCTTTCTACGATCCGCCTTCCCAGTCCATGTTGGAGTGCACGTCAGGCCGGAGACTCCCAATATCCAAGCACAACTCCTCCTGTAGGTGCTAGCTCAGAACGTGTGCTGCATACAGGAGAACAAAAGACGTCTGATGGGCTGCACTCCAAACAGGCCGGAGACTCCCAATATCCAAGCACATCTCCTCCTGTAGGTGCTAGCCCAGCTCGTGTGCTGCATAGAGGAGAACAAAAGACGTCCGATGGGCTGCACTCCAAACAATCCACTTTATTGAACCAAGACAAAATTAATACAGACAGTGGAAATACAATGGGGGACTGGCAGGAAAACGCGTTTCACGCTAAAGACAGCGCTTATTCATTACCCACTTTTAATGAATAAGAGCGGTCTTTAGCGTGAAACGGTTTTACCTGCCAGTCCCCCATTGTATTTCCACTGTCTGTATTGGTTTTATCTTGGTTCAATAAAGTGGATTGTTTGGAGTGCAGCCGATCGATCGGGCGTCTTTTGTTCTCCTCTATATATGTACATGCTTGTTATTGATTTTTTAACAATTGTAACTATGTTTACCATCGGGTCGTTCGGCTCCACCTACATAGGCCTTTGACATGCTTGTTTTGCCCACCCATTGGTGGATCCCCAATCACTAGCCATCAGGATACTAGTATATATAAGAGAGTATACTGGCACTACAGTTACTGGGTCTGAGGTAGAGGCAAGGCCTCGAAACGCGTCAGTAATTTGGAGGTCAAGGATGTGGTTATGTGTTAGAGAAGACACTGGTAGCTTGTGATGAGGCAGAATTATGTTTTACTTGTGTGGCTTAAGTTACAAACATACAGAGCACATTTCAGCAGACAGTGATAGCAGACATCTTGCTTTGAGAGAGAGAGAGGAAGAGAGAGAACCAACAAGTTTTACACATATGCACAACTGGTAACCTTAGTGTACAGTGCCATCTACTGGTCAAGTGATATTAACAAACATACAATACTATATATAGTACATTATAGTACATGCTGTTGCATTCCCAACATAGGAGTCCCATTACGGATATCATCCAGTGTGACTGGACATTGCTGTACTTTACATGATGTGCCCTTGATATGTGTTCCTTTATGTGCTTTTTCTGGAAGTGTTGCGGTACAGAATAATTTGTCTTTTTGGAATTTTTGTTTGTGAGTATATTACCACTTTTTCACACAATAAATGATCTTTTAAAAGGTAATGCACTAGGCCCGTGCGCCCTCTGTTTGTTTCTTTGCATGCAGTACTCTGGATCCCCCTGGTCCATTGAGGGTAGCAAGGCATGCAGCTTCTAGGTATCCTACTTGTGGTTCTACCCTCTGTGGAGTCCATCCTCCAGCGCATCCTCCATGCTTATGCCATTCTTTGTCTAGCCTGTAGAGGTCTGTGCGTCCCTCCATGGATATGCCTCCCCAGACCATCACTGACCCACCACCAAAACAGTCATACTGAACGATGTTACAGGCAGCAGAACGTTCTCCACGGCTTCTCCAGACCATTTCACGTCTGTCACATGTGCTCAGGGTGAAAGCATAGGGAGCCAGTGGTGGACCTGCCAATTCTGGTGTTCAATGGCAAGTGCCAATTGTCGTGCACCAGGAGGAACCCAGGACCCATTGC